GAACAGTGAATAACTGATTTTTTGTACACAGTTTGTAACATGAAATATTTTCGCGAATATATATGCTAGAATATTGTATGCAAAGGATATGCAAGACAATATGCTAAACAATTTACACTAATTATGCCGCCCACCAGCTATTTTGGATTGCGGAGAACACTACAGAGATCTTGAAAAATATGTTGCTATAGTTAAGAAATTTGGTAAAACGGTATTCACATTGCATAAACAAAATTTGAGTAAATAAGAAACAAGTCAGGGACAAGGTTTTTGTTTGTGTCTGAAGTCACCTATATAGTCTCGTACAATTTTAGTTTTTCTTGAAACTGACCTCCCAAGTGGTCAACAAGCTGACTCAACTCTATTTTGGAATATTCCATTTTGATTCAGGATTCCTCTAAAATCAGTTCTGCTGGAGGGACAAAACTGTACCACCACACTTGAATTTCTCAAAAAACAATACAACTTACAAATATCGCAAGGAGAATTAAGACATCCATATGCTAATTAGCTATCATTCACATGCAACTTACCAGCCATACTGAGGCTTTTAGTCAAGGAGAATGCTAATAATTACCACACAAAATAGCAACACTACAAAGATGAATGATCACTACATACCTGAGGAAGTATAGAAACTTGTTGAGCTGATGCTTGGTTCTGAACTTTGTTGACAAACTGTGGGTTCTGCCCCTGAGTGTTGATATGCATGACTGATACATTGGCAGTACTTCTTGGAGTAATACTCGGGTTGGCAGCACTGGTGGTAGTCACTGTATGGCCAGGTGTAGAGAAAGGTGTAGAGGCACTTTGTTGTTGTTGTTGCATATGGGATGTCTGTCCAATGGGACCACTTGACATGGGAATATCAAATGGATTACCCAGCGTTTCAGTATTTGAGTTATTGCTTATATTTATACTTACAGGAGGCACTAAATTCTCTAACTGCAGATTAGAAGATAAGTTTATGAAGTTTCCCTGAGATGTATTGTTGCCAGCAGAAGGCATAGAATGTGCTGCTGATGTTGGCGGAGGCAAGGAACGGGGTACCATGCTCCGCTGTGGCAGGTTAGTAGGTGATGGTGTGAAACCTTGCATGAATTGTGGTTCTGGTTGACGTTGTGACTGGTGAGGGTTAGCAGTGAAATGAGGCATGCGTTGATTTGTATTCTCACCTGCAACAGGATGCATGACTGGTCTCTGTCCCGACGGGGTAAACTGTCTGAACTGTGGCTGCAGTTTAATCGTAATCATGTTAGGCTGGCCCTGACCTGCACTCTGAACAGATATTTGAGGTTGGACACGAGGTGACTGAGTATTAACCCGCTGGCTGAACGTTACATTTTGTTGGTTGGATTGTGGAGTCATTGCTTGAAGGGGTGTTCGTTGGGCTGGCACTTGGTTAACATTGCTATGCATAGCAGGGTATGGTGGTCGGGAACTTTGTTGAACTTGATTAGGCAGCCTAGGTTGTATCGGGGCAGGCAATCTGTTTGTACTCATTTGTATGCCCTGAGAATGAGATGGTGATTGGAAAGCCAGCACTGGGCGAGTAGGACGAGTAGTAGCAGGTGATTGCCCCACACGAGTTAAGCGAATTGATGATGATATGTAACCATTTCCCTGATTAGGCTTCACAAAAGGTTGGATATATTGCTGTTGCTGCTGCTGCTGTTGTTGTTGTTGCTGCTGCTGTTGTTGCACTTGCACCTGTTGTGGGCGTTGTTGAACTTGAACCTGATTGGATGGTAATGCATAATCATGTCCATGATGAGTTAAATAAGGTGGGACTTGATAATTTGGATTGGATTGTTCTTGAATATATGGTGGGGGGTTATTAGCATTCATTGCATTAGCATTTTCTGAATTTTGTTGTGACCACATGGGGTTGAAGTCATTCATAATGCCAGAAACCGGTTGATTTCCTTGAAAACTTTGTGTGAATCCCTCACTTGACGGCGGATACTGTGCTTGAGAATGATCCAACTGTGCTGAAGAATTGTTGATATCTGGATTCAAGTTTTGCATGTATGCAGGATTTGAGATGTGGTGCAACTTCTGCGATGGTTGAGAAGAGGCACCAAAGTTAAAATCGTCAAGGTGATGAAGTCGCTGCTGCTGCTGCTGTTGTTGTTGCTGCTGCTGCTGTTGAGCTGGCTGCTGCTGTATACTTTGATGAGGTAATGCTCCAGACTGCATTGGTATGAATGACTGTTGTTGCAAATGCTGCTGTGGTGGTAGAGGCTGCTGAGAAACCGGCGGTATCAACTGATCAATTCCCTGCGCTCCCAAATCTGGTCCCAGATTTGGCGTTGAAGCGAATCCAGAATTTAGACCAGTAATCTCATCCAACAAGTTTGTATCACTATCAAACAAACTCATCATTGAATCCTCTTCATTCATTTTCAATGATTTATAATTTTACAACTAAAATATTTGCATTTCCAACTACACTAACATGAAACTGAAAGTCCAGTAAAAAGCATCGAAGTCCATCTTTATATATCCACTCTTCAGTTCACACAACCTGTAATGTACATAGAGCCATACACAAAAAATTAATTAGTCCTTGCAGAAAAAGGTCAATACTTCTTGTTCAAATTTTGAGACGACTTCCAACTTATCACCACCTAAGATTAAAATAAATTTATGAACTAGTACTTCGCACATTTTGTTGTACAATTTGGTATGAATTATATGACAAGTTGTATTTCGACTTAAATTTTGATCTTCTTCAGTAGCATCTCGGTCCTGTGGCAACCATATTTTGTAATAATAAATTTCTTAGACTCCTCCGACTGGAACAGATTCACAAAAATTTGAGAATTAGGAATGCCCACAGTAATTCAAATCAACATCGAACAGCAACATATTTCGTGTTTTTCATACATTTATCACCACTATGTTGCATATATTCACATTAGATGGCTTTGCTTTCACACAAATTCGAAACAGTGTTTAGAATAAGAGCATCTAAGGGTATTCTGCATGGCCGTTGCTATGCAGAGATCACATGCTCAAAATGACAGGGAACTGCAAAAGTTCCTCTAGATTTTATTAACTGGTAATGCAGGAGACTGTTTTGGAGAGTAAAATTCATGTACATCATCTGAGTGGAATGAAATAAAAATATTACAAGCCAGATATAGTCGGTCATGCCTTCGTGCAAAAATATTTGCCTGACATTAGCTCTTTCATATTGATATTAATGCTCATAATCACCCAATAAGTATATACTGTAATATCAAATATGTCAAATACTAGACTAAAATGACAATAATAAAATTAATAGGGCAATAAATTTATTGCAGTATCCCAGAGTGCAACTTCAAGCTATACCAGAAAAATTTAAGTTTCACAGGTGTTCAACAAGCATTACCAACTATCAAACAAACTTAGTAGAGAAATATTGCCTTCGGTCACAAAACGTGCTCATGAAAATGTTATGTAATCATACCAGAAATTTCAAAACAAAACAAACTCAAAATCGGTCTAACAACATGGCTTCCCGGGACAACAGATCCCATTCAAAACATGTTCACCACCTCTCCGAAACACAACACAGCACTATGAAGAACGCGGTTTAGGAACAAAGCAACAGTACCACCACGTAATTTGGTAGAACAAAGAAAACGGGCTATGGAGGCAACCATGTTGAGTCTTTTATAAACGTCCGACAATGTACATGATACGCGATGTATTTATATTATTTATGCACTCACGTGTTCTGGTCGGGTTCAAGTTCACACTGTGTAAGAATAATGGTAACTGGAGACAAAGTTAACCAATATAAAATTATCCAGATTGCCGAGAAACGGTAGGGTCTTTGTCGGACAGTGCGCAAAGAGAACAATGAGAGAAAAGTTTTACACGGCACACAACGTGCAATGAGCAGAGTGATTTTGAACGAAATTAGCCGAATGAAAAACCCTTGAAAATACGACATGTCCCTACCGGGTACCCCTCAAATTGACACACATGTTAATATACAGCCCGGGAACCAAAACTCTGTCATATTTAGCCACATAAAATAACTACTTACTGTTGTATGGTCGGGCGAAAAGCAGAAAAATCCAGCCGAGAATTTTGCAGAGTTTGGGCGGCCGAATGCTTTACACCCGATCATTCTGTAGCGTGCGAGACTAATTTGCACTTATAAAACTCCAACTGTGATTGGTCAACGAAGATCAGCCATGGTTTTGAAAATAACGAGTACTCTGAGTGTCGCGTGTTCTCATGAAATTGCTTTACCCTCCGCTGTGAGCAAAAAAATGGATTTGTGGTATATAAGCCATATTTTCACTTTTTCCGATCATAATAATTCACAATATCCATGGAAGAGGATCATAGTTCCACCAATCAGATAACGTCTTACAGAATGACCACGAAACGAACGAGGACCACGTTGAGCGAATAAACTGACCAATCAGGAACGAGGTCACCAGGAAGTACCCGGATGATTCACAACACAATGGCGTCAGGTGTTGAGGGCGTGGTTTCGAGTCAGTGACAGATAAGAAATTCAAAAACAACGCAAATTTCAGAGAATTTGAATGATTCAGCATGAAAAACCTCATGAATATTAAATGTGACAACGTGACGTAAATAAACAAATTGCGGTCATAGCATGTGCGTATAAAGGTCAATGACTTGAGGCGTTGTTACGGAGTCGACTTCCTTTATCCTCTTTTTATGTTTCATTTCGATACGAAGAAAATAATAAATGTTAGTTTCTCATACTTCAGTAAACTGTGTCCAATATATAATTTCTCGCCAGGTTTATAACAATTAAAATAAAATAAAAAACAAGTGAGTGAGTGAAAGAGCAAGTTTTGTCGTTTTTATGACAAAAAAACAAAACAAAAAAACACACTTTCCGGGCCGTTATCTGTCATTTCTTATTCTCGGTGATAACCGTTTTTATCAAACCCAATTTAACTTATGGGCCAGGAATCTTGACACTATATATTCAAAACAATATTAAATGTGATGATAGAACAACAGAAAAAAATAATAAGACATTTGACAAGTCCAGCAGCAAGGCCCGGGCACCGAGAGCAGAGGTGGGACAATATCCACGTTTTCTCGGCCTGAGTGCACAAATACAGACAAAATACTGGCTACATATAAAGAAACATCAACAAACTATACAATATAATTGGTTAAATGCAAAACAATTAATTTTATTAGATAAATCACAAAATAACATCCAAGAGTTAGTAAAAAAAAAAAAAATCTTTAATTTTTTTGTGAATGAAAAGAAATTACGAAAATAGTTTTATGTTAGAGGCATTTTTAATGAGCTGGACTGAAATAAAATAAAATTGTTTACAAAATTTAGAACCAGCAACCATAATTTACAATTGTTTCGACAAATAAGTAATTACCTCGATACAAACAAAATCAAATACATGACATTGGCGATAACTACGAAGTACCTTGCAATTGGGATTTCGATATTAAACTGAACATGTGTTCATATTTTTTAATATGGCTATTAGTTCTCCGGTTGCTATGTGATATAACGGTTGGAATATAATGGTGCTGCTACTGTATATGATATGCGAAATGTAGACGCAGATGTTATGTCCTCTATGTGCCCTCTACAGGAAGAACGATATCGTTATTGAAACCTGAATAAACCCATGACATATTTCAAAAAAATACAATACGTCAAACTTTGAATTTATTTTAAAATAATGTCCAGATAGATTCCTTTTTTTCAACTTCAGATAATTCACGCGTGACATTTATTGAATATTCTTCAATTACGTCACTGTATTATCGCCGAGTCCGTCGCAGAAACGCTAAATGTTATGACGGTTAATGTATCACCAGATGAATCGCCTTAGGCAGTGATCGCCTCGCAGCGCGAAGTGCTGATAGTTTTATCATCCCCTCGACCAGCGTTGCCGCGTCAATAAACACGTCATTTATAGTACCGTGACCCCATTGAATGATAGCCTTTCAACATTGAGGGCGCCTCCACAAACAGGCTTCGTGACGATGTTTATAATCAAACTCAATATGGACGTCGTACGCCCATGATCCAGAAGCAGGTGGTGTCGGCCATGCGCTGCCCCAGATGTGATAATTTTAGGCTATGACGTTTAGTTAAATTAGTTATTTGCATAATGATATTGATACATTGTATGGAACATCTCGTGAGTATTTAGACTCAGTTCCAGGCTTAGCAGTTGAGCAATAAACACCTTGGCTACAAGTGCTCCTCTTCAGTGCGTTATTCTCCTCCCGGATTTGGTGACCAATACTCACTTGGTTCACTCTACCTTGAGAAGTCTGTTCTCAGTTTACATAAGATTTCCCAAGATTACTTTTTTAGACATTAAACTTGAAACGTGCTGTGCGTTCCCTGATCTAGTTTTTATCTCGGTTCAAGTACGAGATAAAGAAATCCCAAGAGGGCGATTTGTAATGGTTGGATGAAGATTTGAACATTACAGCGGCCTCGTTCGTGAAACCTAGTTGTTTGAGGTGAAACTAATAGTAGATCCACAGTCGAGTGACTGTGGTAGATCATACGATTGAAGCCAGTAATGTGCGTTGCACGATGATCAAAAGAAATTATAATAGAAAACTAAGAACTATATAAAGTTTAAAGACACATGCACTTTTGAACCGTATTTGGTCTTATGTAATCTTAAAGCGGGAGGGTCGTCACCTGCGCACGCGCGGGAATTGAGTCCCAAGCGACGATAACAACACGCGTTAAAAACGCAAAGGCTCATCGGTAGACTCTTGTTTGTAAACAATGATACGCTATGGCCATTTGACGCATGCGCAGGTGAGACCCCCCCCCCCCCCCGCTTTAAACATAAAACATAATGAAGTAGGGGATGAGAAACATTACATTTTATATTGTAATAATTGTCAAATCAAAGAACATAGATCTAGATTCCTTGCAGCTTTATACATCTATGCCCCAAAGCTGGAAGATTTTAGCATGGATGAATTATTTCCTATTATTGTTTCAAGTAATGATTTTTTCATTCTTAGCATTTTTGCAAAATTTATTTTCTATATTCTTGATATGTTTTAATACTGTAAGTTTTTGTTGTTCTGAATGTTTTGTTTTGTTATTGTTATTTTTGGACTTTACTCAAGTTTTCATTGGTACGTTCCAAATAAAAAATTCTATCTATCTATCTATCTAAAACCATTTCAGAACAAGCAGTCGTGTATTAGAAATAGAGGGGAGGCAAGGGGGTAGCTGGTACAGTTTTACGGAAAATAAAAAGTTTTTTTTACAATTTACAAGAATCGAAAAAAAGACGTTTTTACAGTTTACAGTGAAAATTGAATTTTGCAGTGAATTATGTCATTTAGTCGTTTTACAGTTTCGAAAATGTAATTTCCCTGGATTATTCTTTACGACTTTTTTATTTGGATGTGAACCGAGTACCGAGAAAAATGACACATTTTTACAGTGTACGAAAAAAAACATTTGATTGATTACGATGTACGTCTACCCTGTGATTACAGAATTACGGAATTTTTTTTTTAATTTACGTTGTACGAACAAAAAAATATTGCAATTACGTTGAACGAAAATAACCATTGCCCCCCCCCCCACCGAAATAGAGAAGGACAGCCATACCCAATACAAAACACCTTTATAAGACAAAACTGTAAGCAATGTTTCCAGATCAAAATTGAAAATGAAGAATATTTCTTCATGGAATGTCTTAGGCACCAAATAGAAAGACAAATATCAATATTCCAGAAGAATTAAAAATAGATGTCCAGATATTTAAACATATTACGATTTCAAGAGAAATTGTTAATACCTGAGGTGTAATAATATTGCATAGTCATGGCTTTGGAGAGGCGTTTTACAGCATTTGTAAAACCAGGGTGTAGGTAAAACTGACGTATTTTGTAAATAAATTATCTTCGTTCAGAGAGTCAAGAATACTGCACACCAAAATTGGTATGAAACAATAACAATCTCTTCAAGACTACGAATCTAGTATGACTGACTAGTATGACTCCGTCTATTGTGACTGAGGACAGAGTTAAGTTCACAAAATCAAGATAAATGAGTCACTGAAAATGAAACAGTCCCTGTCAGTTGCTTAACACATACTCAAGGAAAATAATCACAATTTCACGGGAAATTATTATTGTCAAAGTCTATTATTTGTCTAAATATATGTTGCTGTGCACTATTTGATATTTGATATGATCACTAAACTAATTTATACACAAAACACGGGACAAATATCCATAAAATGGCGATTTTTTTATCAGTTTATGTGGTATAAAGCCCTCACCATATCTCAAATTTCCGTTTGGTTATATATGGTGAAAAAATTCATATGTATGATACGGGTATGTATGGTTATCACGAATTATTAGGACATTTATTAATTATTCATTTTTTTCTGAATGGAAATTGTACAAAAATGCTCAGTTTTTGTAATATGTGACACTTTTGCAACAAATAATTATGATATTTTTGTCACCTCTAGTTTTTAGGTTAAATGCCCGCGATTTACCTTTGAATTCATAGTTGAAAATACAGACGTAACTCACCTTCCCAACCATCTTTCTATATTAAATTATGGCGAAAAATGTGTGGATATCAAAGTAGTTGGTCACCATTAAAACTTATCGCCAGACCTTTACCATATGGCTATATTTCATGATATTGCTCACAAAATGCAAATAACAAAAGTCAACGAGCTACTTTTCACATCCATGAAAATGGCAATATTTGAGCCATTTACCACTAGCTAATGGTAAATAAGCTTCGTCGTATCACACAATTTCAATCAGGTACATATGGTGAAAAATATATGTAGTTAAAATATTAGTGCTTATTGTTGAATTATTGGTGAATTCTTTTTTGTTTTAGGTACATTTTACATGTTTTCAGACATTTTTGTCCACTGGCTGAAAAAAAACAACAGTCGATAGCTTGTGTCTAAATCAACAGTAACGTAACATTTTTGAAACAAAACATATGGAAGATACGTGTTAACTAGATATTGGATTTTGCTAAGGATTGTGGGATAGAAAAATGAACTATAGAGGGCGTTTGGGAGAACTTGGGGGAAACATCAACTGTAAACCTCTCCAGTTTTCAATCAATGAGTTATTATTTTTTTAATTGTATGGTTATATTATTGTTGGAGTTTCCATTAATTCCACAAGGAAGATTGTTTTTGAAAGTCAATTTTTTCCCACTTAAAATGGTGTGAATTTGTTCATATTTTCTGTAATCCTAATGTTGAGGCCAACAAACCTAATCTGACGTTGCTTCTAATTTGCTTAATCATTCCATATTTGGAATGTGCATTTCCCAATATGGTAGGATGAAAATACCCCGTAAAATACCGCAAAATTACGACACGCTGTAACTTATGGCGTTACGGTGACAGATGTACCGGTAATTTAGCATAGCCCAAGAGGTAAAAGTAGTATGTGACCTAATGACTTAGATTATTACTGTAAAATACTTAATTTTCACTAAAGGAATGATTCAGTGAAAATAAAATCCAGCGAATATACCTTTTTCCTATTTTTTACATTCAACTCGTCAAAAATCAGTGAAAAATAAATTCCATACAAAACACCCAAAAAGTCTTTTCAGTGAAAGTTCATTCCAGCTAAAAGAAAGTATTTTACAGCATTAAGAATGTGTGTCACAGTCGCTATTCTTATTGTTTATTAATTCAACCAAAATAAATACGTGTATTGTGCGATAAGCGAACTAGTTATTTATTCAATCAGTACGCATTATACACCTGGCCCAAATCGGACAGTAGAGAGCGCTGTCTTCAGGTACTACGGGTGATCACTGCGGGCTAGGATTCCGAGATCGAAACAGGATTTATGTTTCATGCAAATAAACTTCTATAACAAACTAATTATGAGCATTTATACATGCTTTTTGTACAGTTCACAATCGCAATCTACATCAAACTAAATGTGCCGGTTGATAATGAAAATGTTGGGAAAACAGTAAATGTCAAATATCAACTTTTACTGTATCAGAACACAAGTATCTTATCCCAGCTGCCTCCGCATAAGCGGAGAAAACAGACAAAGGCAGCATGAGTAACAAATATCAGTGTAACAAGTTTAGACCTAATTGGACAGCGTGAATTTTTAAATATACAAGCAGAATGGTGCAAAAAAATGGCTGCCAGTCAACCATTATGAATTAAATTGTTGGTGTTATTATGTGCACAGATTACTCCATATTGTGTTGCATGCCTTGCTTAGAACACTGCATATGATCAAACTCATTGTTACAATGACCAATTGTCAGAGTGCGGAGTATTATCTAAATAATGCCCTGTCTGTCAACGAGATACAAATTCAACACTCGTTTCAATTTTAGAGCGACTTCCATATATTCATAGAAAATACAAAATTTTACCAAAGTTACAGTAAATTGTACTTGATACAATGCCCCTCCTCGGGTTCACACCAAGCTAAAAGCCAAAATCTTGCCCAAAATGTAGTCATGAATATTCATTATGCAGTGTAACTTCAAACATCTCTTTATGTGAACAAGTCATTGAAAATGACACCAGTATATATGTTTATTCAGTACCATTGGCCATAGGCCATAATGTACACACTTAAATGTAACACAAATAAATAAATCGTTTGACAAGAATAATCACTGCTACTGCTTGTCTGAATATTACAAATTTATACTTCACCTATGAATACCAAATTAAATTTATATTTCAGTTAAATTTCCCTCCAACAAACTATGACGTTTTTGTAAAGAGTAGAATACGTATTTTGCAAGATTTTGTATTATATGTGTATTTTCAGATTGCAGTAGCAAAATAAATTTCCATTCAAGCGCTGGGCAATAGTAAAACTTGTGTATAAAACGAGTTCTAATTTCCTCAAATTTGGGGCATTGTAATAGAAAGTGGAACTCGTTTTCAATGAGATTACAACCAAGAGGACACAATCTTTGGTCAAGTGGTATTCCCAATGCCCTACCCTTTTCAATCATGAGCTCATGAGCAGATATTCTAAAACAAGCGAGAGATTTTCTAAAAACACTTATAGTAATAGAATCCAGATATTTTTCCCCGGCTAATAATTTTTTAAATTTAGAATAAGTGCATAATTTTGAACTATTACCAATCTGATCATGCCACTGTTGCTGGGAAATATCTAGACACCGTTGGTTAAACTGTAGCAGAAAACAATTTGGGTTATTCACATACTGGCTTTCCCATACGTGTGCAAACCAAAATTACATAACAATCCTTAACATATGTTGCCCAACAATTGAATCCCCTTTGTACCCTGTCATATTGATAGCCATACATTCTTTACTAAACAG